GATGTTGCAGCTCAGCTGCCTACTTGATCCCTTTTCTTCATATTGCATTCATTCCCGACTCCCTTCCTCCCTCTCTGGTTCTCTCTCCATCTCTTTCCCTTCAAAAGGCTAAACATACAGGGAACTTGCAAAACCACGCAAAATGAAAAGACCCAAAGAAGAAGAAGAGCAAAGCAGACTCTTCATATTGCATTAATTCCTGACTCCCTTCCCCCCTCTCTGGTTCTCTCTCTGTCTCTTTTCCATCAAAAAGCTAAAAATACAGGGAACGCAAAATCATACAAAATGAAAGGATCCGAAGAAGAGCAAAGCAGACAGTAATAATCTCCCAAAGCAAACAAGAACACGATGTTGCAGCTCAGCTGCCTACTTGATCCCTTTTCTTCATATTGCATTCATTCCCGACTCCCTTCCTCCCTCTCTGGTTCTCTCTCCGTCTCTTTCCCTTCAAAAAGCTAAACATACAGGGAACTTGCAAAACCACACAAAATGAAAAGACCCAGAGAAGAAGAAGAGCAAAGCAGACCGTAATAATTTTCCAAAATACATCCTGAGCTAGATTTCCAGAACGTTTGCAGTCATAGTATAGGCCACCTGTCTATCATCGTTAAACTTTGGTTCTGCCCCCTGTTCAGGGCTCTGGGAGGGAAAGGAACCATTTTGGGCAGTCTCACACAAGGAAGCTAGGCTATGGGATGTAGACAACTCGTCCCGTAGCTGGTCTACATTCCTCAAGATCATCCGGGGAAATAGAAACAGACCATCCAGGGTTACAGAAATTCCAACAGAAACAGAAGGAAAAGGGTCCCAAAAGCTCTGGCTGAGAGCTCTTAGCCTCACAGCATCAGAAGGAAACAGCTCTGAAGTTTCCAAAGATCTCTCGGAGGGAGAACAGCATTACAGATTTGTGAACCCCAGTTGAAATATCTACAGGCCTTGGCTGGTTGGTTTACTCAATGTCCAGAAGCATTTGGAATCGGTAGTAAGACCCACACCAACGAGGCCCAGATGATAGACAGCCTGGGAGAGGTTATAAAGGGTTTTCCTCATGCAGAGAAAGTACAGTTAACCCAAGTTAAGTTGCCAGTCTCTTAAGGACTAGAATAAGAAAGCCTTGAAGTGTTGTTTGAAGATTTGTTATTTGTTCCAAAGTAAAGACTTTGTTATATCATTAAAGACTCTAAAGACCACCACTTCAGGAAAATCCCTGAGAACCTTTCTTTGAGGCACCCGCCTTCCCGCTGGGCCAAAGTATACGTCCTATAGAAAAGACAGTTGTTACAGGCCCAGCGTGCGACAGAACATGAACATAACCATAATCCAAAGGCTTGATACTTGAACTTGACTATAATCCCAAAAGTTTGAAACTTAAAACAAGATTTGTAATCCAAACAGGAGGCATGGAACTTTAATAGGAAAACAAGATCCAGGCGCAAGAACAGCCTCCCAACCCATGATCTCACAACGAGCATGTCGCAACTCAGGGTAGTTTTCACTTTACTCAAGACACCACCACACACCAAGGCTGTAGGCAGAGGCAGCCCTAGGTAATTTTCAACGGTAAGCAAACAGTATTTTGGCGCCCCCCCCTTCCCCCAACCAATCACTGATATATATTTTCTGTTTGTCGTGGGAGTTCTGTGTGCCATATTTGGTTCAATTCCATCATTGGTGGAGTTCAGAATGCTCTTTGATTGTAGGTGAACTATACATCCCAGTAACTACACTTGCCACACTTGCTCCCTTGCCTGGCTCGCTTTGGGTCCGGAGGCGTGCCTGAAGACCCCGGCATGTGCACCAAAAGTCACCTCTTCTCCTGACTTTCTCCTCAGCCATTGGGACCAGGGAGAGAGAGAGAGGTGGAGATGCCCACCTTTCCTGAAGGTAGGCGCAAAAACAAAGGAGGGAGCGGAGGTGGGAGATACCTCCAGCCGGAGGGGCTCTCTCTCTCTCTCTCTCTCTTTGGTCCCAATGGCTGAAGAGAAAGTCAGGAGAAGAGGCGACTTTTGGTGCACACGCTGGGGTCTTCAGACACGCCTCCGGACCCGAAGCGGGCCAGGCGGGCTCCGCCCCTTGGCCCACCCGCGGATTGGGGAGAGGAGAGGAGGCGGGTGGAGTGCTGGGGGATCGGGAAAGGGAGCCGGTCATGGGGAAGGGATCGAACGCGGAGAACGATTGAGCGCCGGCTCTGCTCGCGCACCCGGTGGCCGGGTGGAGCAGGAACGAGAGGGGCTAGGCGAGGCTCAAGGGCCCGGCCCCTTTGGGAAGAGGATCGCCCGGCAGCGAGGCAAGAAAGCCGAGGCTCCCCCGGACTGCTAGGGCTGTTGTGAGCTGAGGGGGCGCTCCTCAAGTGGCAGTCGAGGGGCATTTACAGAGGCGCCTCTGCACCCCTGGCAAAAAAAAAGTGTTCTGCGACCGCTTACTTCGCGTAATGGACAAGCCGCCCCTGGCTGTAGGTTTTGTAGTTTATTGAGAAAAAGCAAAATCAAAACAGACAAATAAAGATGCAAAAGTTCAATAGGCAAAACAGAGTCGCAAAGGCAAAGCTCCCAAGATCCAAAGGCAAATAACATGAAGCATAATCCCTTAGCAATGGTCAAACAGGAGTCCATGGAAGACAGGTAAAATCAGGATCAAAATCCAAGTCTCAAAGAAGCCAGAAGCATTCCGCAAACGCCAAGATAACTCCACAGAAGTTCACAGGAAAAGAGCAACATTGGACTGACAGAAAATGCCTGTTGGCTACATCATTAAATAATCCCTTAGCAATGGTCAAACAAGAGTCCATGGAAGACAGGTAAAATCAGGATCAAAATCCAAGTCTCAAAGAAGCCAGAAGCATTCCACAAACGCCAAGGTAACTCCACAGAAGTTCACAGGAAAAGAGCAACATTGGACTGACAGAAAATGCCTGTTGGCTACATCATTAAATAAGTTTCCCGGACATGAAAGCATTGCGTTGACCTTTGGCTTCACGCTTGCTGGCAAGACGAGTGCTTCTGCGAACTCTTAATTGTAAACAATCCTGTCCGCTCATTAATTCACTATCATCTTCAAGGCTGCACTCATTATCTTGGCCCAGCTGGGCCTGATCACCCTGGGAACCCAAAGGAGTCTCCACCTGCAGTTGTGGAGTTTCACTATCTTTATCTAAAAGTACATTCCTTTCTCTGGGGAATGTTTTTTCTTCAGGAGCCACACTATCATCCCCGTCTGGAACATGTACAGAAATCTGTAACCCATCAGCCTCCTCGTCATCCTGCAGAAAGTCAGACCCAGAAGGCCCATCATAAAGCCCAGACAGTTCAGACTCAGGCTCAGACTGAGCCACAACAACAGAGGGACTTGGTGCGGCTTACATGAGGCCGAGCCCACCTAAACTACAAATCCTTAAGAATACTCCCCCTTGCCCATGAGATCACTCTTTCTCACAACTGGGTTCCCTCCGTTTATCTTTCAGTCTCTGGAAACAACGAATTTGTCTCAGATTCGCACTGTCCCTTCTGATCTGTAAACGTTGGGTTATCGGTAACCTTCCTGTGTCCTCCACATTCCTTTCAGAGTCAATCCGTGGGTGTTGGAGTTCAGCCTGTGATTGTGTCTAATGATCAGGGTACTCTGGATGTTGGAAATGACGATGAGGTTCATGTAGGTAATGATGTTTCTAATGATGAGGTGGCTATTGATGCAGAAAATGACCATGAGATTCCTGTTCAAAGTGTAGTTTCTCACGAGAATGTTCCTGAAGGGTTTGAGGATGATGGTGTGCTCCCTGAATTGCAACCAGAGAATTCCCATGATTTGGAGCCTGAGAATAGCTCGGCACCTGGGCCAGTTGCAGAAATTAATGAGCCAGTAGATAGACGAAATGTATTTAGTCAGCATAGAAAAACAAACCAATCTCTCAGGCGTTCTACCAAGCTAAAAGAGAGATTGATAAGAGAGTCAAGGCTGAAACAAAACCCGTTTCTGGCTGCTTGGGACACAGAGTAATTAGGGGATAAAAGTGCCACGTACAGAATCTGTAGTCAGATGAAGCATCATTTGGAATTTCAGTCAAGACATCTTTCCTGGACCTTGGAAGCCTTGCTTGGATAGATTTGCGTGTTAAGTGCCTTTTGATTTATGATTCAAGCTTTGGAATTTTGCCTGATGGACTAATTTCCTGGACTATTTGTTCCTCCTTATCTTTCTACCTAATTGGATTTACCTATTTTTATGGAGTGCTTTTTTTACTGCTACTGCTTTTAAAATATTTTCATTTATCTTGCATTTTTACTCAGCTGTGTGGTGTTGAAAGTCAAAGGGCTTTCCTGTCCTGGAGTGCAACACTGGGTGATTCTCACGAGAATCGCTGCCTCTTTCTCCGACAACAGATCTATCGAAAACATTCCCATTGTCTCAAAAAAATACTGTTGATTCCCCTCACAGAAATACCAGGCTCAACCAAAAAAAATCCTCATTCTCAGATGCTTCACAGGCCTCAACATATGAATCCTAGAAGTTGCTCCCCTGAAGCCGTAAAGTCCTGCACTCTCCCACTACAACTCCTGGTCCGAGTGACAGGTTGTAACTCCTGGTCCGAGCGACAGGTTATAACTCCTGGTCTGAGTGACAGGTTGTAACAGCGTTAAGTCTCGACGCTCTTAAGTCGAGCTTCCACTGTATTAGGTTCCTGTTTCGCACTATCCCTTCTTATCTGTAAACGTTGGGTTATCGGTAGCCCTCCCGTCTCCTCCACATTCCTTTCGGAGTCAATCCAACAGATCTACCGAAAACATTTGATTCCCCTCACAGAAATACCGGGCTCAACCAAAAAATCCTCGTCCTCATCCTCACGGGTCTCAACATATGAAGCCCAGAGGCTGCTCCCTTGAAGCCATAAAGCCCTGGACTCTCCCACTGGCATTCCCTCTGGCGCTATCCCGGTCCGAGCGACAGGCTGTAACTCAGTCTGGATGCTCTTAAGTTGAGCTTCCACTGTATTAGTTCCTGCTTACCGTGGTGGGGGGTCCCGGCGGCTCCGGGGTCCGGCGTGGGGCTGGGGGTGGTGTGGGGCGGGGCCGGGGGGTCTGCGGGGGGCAGCTTCTCTGTGGCCTCTTTCTGGGGAGTTTCCTGGATGAGAAATAAGCAGAAGTTACTTAAAACAAGCAAACAATGGTCCCTTTGTGGGTCCGAATTGGGCCCTATATACCGCCATAATAAGAACGATAGATCACTATGAGCAAGATGAGGGCCCTCCATGGAAACCTACCGTCCCAGCCGGTGCCTGCGCTTGGTGGGTGGCGACCTTGCGCTGGGCAGTGTGGTTGGGACACCCGCCGCTCCGGACGGAGGAGCTCGCTTCTTGCCTCTGCAATGCAGCCGCGGGCCTGGCGTTATGGGTGGCTTGCAAGCAAGAGGGGCTGGCGCTGGCACCACTGCCCGGCTTGTGAGGGTGACAGCCTTGTATGGACGTCGGCCCCGGGTTCGGCAAATGGGAGGAAGAGGACGAGGGCGGCATAGGCTGCGTGGAGCGAGGCTGTAGCTGCGGCTGGATGACAAACTGGTGCTGGGCTGCCTTGGGCTGCTGAGACACAAACTGGTGGGACTGGAGCGGAGCAAACGCTGGAAAAGAAGGGGCAGAAGGGTGATTGATGCAAACACAGGATAGTGGGAGTTGTAGTTTGCCTACACCCTTAGGCCTTTTCTAACGGGACCATGGAATCTACCTATCTATCCATCCATCCATCCTGCCTATCTTGCTTACACTCCCTCTTTCTCGCAAATCATCTCTTTATATCTATCTATCTATCCATCCATCCATTCATCAATCCCTCCATCCCTCTATCTATCCATTTACCTATCCGTCTATCTATCCATTCATCTATTCGTCTATCTATCTATCTATCTATCTATCTATCTATCTATCTACCTATCCATCCTTCCATCCATCTGTCCATCTATTTATCTGTCAGTCTGTCAATCTATCTACCATCTCTCTATCTATCTACCTGTCTGTCTGTCCGTCCGTTCATCCATCCATCCATCTATCTATCTATCTTATCTATCCATCCATCCATCACTCTATCTATCTCTCCATCCATCCGCCTATCCATCTACCCATCTATCTATCTATCCATCCATCTATTTGTCTGTCTATCCATCTATCCTGTATTGTTGTATTGATGCCCTGATGTTAATTAATTGATATTACTGTTTTAAATATCAACCGCTTCGAGTCGCCTTTTTAGGCTGATATTTGCGGTATACAAAAGAAGTAAATAAATAAATAAATAAATAAATGACTAATGATTTTGTACTGTATTGTTGATACTGGTTGTTAACCGCTCTGAGTCGCCGTTGGCTGAGAAGACAAGTGAAGTTAATAAATAAATAAATAAATAAATAAATAATATCCTGCCATCACTCTTATCTATCTATCCATCCATCTATCCATCTACCCATCCATCTATCCGTCCTTCTATTCTTCTATCCATCCATCTATCTATCTTATCTATCCATCCATCCAACCACCCCTCCATCCCTCTATCTATCCATCCATCCATCTATCCATCCATCTGTCCATCTATTTATCTGTCAGTCTGTCAATCTATCCATCCATCTATCAGCCCTATCTCACATCTCTCTCTCTCTCTCTCTATCTATCTATCTATCTATCTATCTATCTATCTATCTATTAGGCCTGTGCGGTTTCGTTCGTTAATTTCGTTATTCGTTAAACATTCGTTATTTTTGGCATTTACGAGGCGATATCAAAACACTTTTTCAAACCCGGAAGGGTTTTAAAATATCGAAGCGGCATCCCCCATCCTTTTAACGAGCTTCCGCCCGTTTCGGAAATTGGATGGAGGATGCTGGTGCCTGGGAGCCAATCCGGCGCTCCCAAGCACCCAAGCAGTGCACCGTGGCTGATTTTCATTGGCCGGCAAGGCCTTTAAAAGCGGCTCCGCGTGGCCGCAGAGCTCATTTGTTGCGCGGAGGCGAGGGAGGAGAGAGGTCCGGGAGGGCTGCTTGCTTTGGGTTGGCTTGGTTGGTAGGAAAAAGACTTGCATTGGGTTGGCTTGGTTGGAAAAGACTCTTCTGTTGGTGTTTGCTCTCGACTGCCCTGTCTTTTGGCTGTGTTAGCTGTACATCAGGGCCAGTTTTTGGTTAAGTTTCCATTTTGAATATTTTCTAAAAATACCTGCCTTTTATTCTTAAAAAATACAAAAAATATTCTAAAAAAGAAAAGACTCTTCTGTTGCTGTGTGCTCTCATTTGCCCTGTCTCGTGGCTGTGTTTGGTCCACATCAGGGCCAGTTTTTGGTTAAGTTTCCATTTTTGAATATTTTTAAAAAAATACCTGTCTTTTATTCTTAAAAAATACAAAAAATATTCTAAAAAAAGAAAAGACTCTTCTGTTGGTGTGTGCTCTCACTTGCCCTGTCTCCTGCCTGTGTTAGCTCTACATCAGGGCCTTTTGTTTAATTTTCCATTTTTGAATATTTTCTAAAAATACCTGCCTTTTATTGTTAAAAAATACAAAAATATTCTAAAAAAGAAAAGACTCTTCTGTTGGTGTGTGCTCTCGTTTGCCCTGTCTCGTGGCTGTGTTTGGTCCACATCAGGGCCAGTTTTGGGTTAATTTTCCATTTCTGAATATTTTCTAAAAATACCTGTCTTTTATTCTTTAAAAAATACAAAAAATACGCTTCAACGAATCGATTCGTTATTATCTCAATATCGAATCGAATCGTATTTAATAACGATGTTTCGGAAGCCGCTTTTGCGCATGCGCGATCGCGTCCGCCATTTTAACGAATCGATTCGTTATATCCTTAACGAATCGACCCCACGCTAATAACGAAGCTTCGGAAGTGGTTCCGCGCATGCGCGGGGGTCCGCCATCTTTACGAAATGTTTTGTAAATATTTACGAAATTTCGTAAATACCAAAAAAATTTTTGGGAAAGTTTTGTAATTATTTTAAATATCGAAACAAAAAAACACCCCAATTACAAATTGATTTTAGAAACAAATTTTTTCTTGATCAACCAGGCCTACTATCTATCTATCTATCTATCTATCTATCTATCTATCTATCTATCTATCTATCTATCTATCTATCTATCTATCTACTCTATCTGTCTGTCTGTCTGTCTTGAACCTACACCTGTTGATAAACTCTACTCTACATGCGGAATAATCATTGGATGTCTTAAACCTACACCTGTTGATAAACTCTACTGTACATACAGAATAATCACAGGATGTCGTAAACCTACACCTGTTGATTACCCTACATGCAGAATAATCACAGGATGTCTTGAATCTACACCTGTTGATTACCCTACATGCAGAATAATCACAGGATGTCTTGAATCTACACCTGTTGATTACCCTACATGCAGAATAATCACAGGATGTCTTGAATCTACACCTGTTGATTACCCTACATGCAGAATAATCACAGGATGTCTTGAACCTACACCTGTTGATTACCCTACATGCAGAATAATCACAGGATGTCTTGAATCTACACCTGTTGATAAACTCTACTCTACTTGCAGAATAATCACAGGATGTCTTAAACCTACACCTGTTGATACACTACATACAGAATAATTACAGGATGTCTTAAACCTACACCTGTTGATACTCTACATGCAGAATAATCACAGGATGTCTTGAATCTACACCTGTTGATGAACTCTAATCTACTTGCAGAATAATCACAGGATATCTTAAACCTACACCTGTTGGTAAACTCTACATGCAGAATAATCACAGGATGTCTTAAACCTACACCTGTTGATAAACTCTACTGTACATACAGAATTATAACAGGATATCACTGTTGATAAACTCTACTGTACATACAGAATAATCACAGGATATCTTGAATCTACGCCTGTTGGTAAACTCTACATGCAGAATAATCACAGGATGTCTTAAACCTACACCTGTTGATAAACTCTACTCTACTTGCAGAATAATCACAGGATGTCTTAAACCCACACCTGTTGATAAACTCTACTCTACTTGCAGAATAATCACAGGATGACTTAAACCTACACCTGTTGATAAACTCTACTCTACTTGCAGAATAATCACAGGATGACTTAAACCTACACCTGTTGATGAACTTTAATCTACTTGCAGAATAATCACAGGATATCTTAAACCTACACCTGTTGGTAAACTCTATTCTACATGCAGAATAATCACAGGATGTCTTAAACCTACACCTGTTGATAAACTCTACTGTACATACAGAATTATAACAGGATATCACTGTTGATAAACTCTACTGTACATACAGAATAATCACAGGATATCTTGAATCTACGCCTGTTGGTAAACTCTACATGCAGAATAATCACAGGATGTCTTAAACCTACACCTGTTGATAAACTCTACTCTACTTGCAGAATAATCACAGGATGTCTTAAACCCACACCTGTTGATAAACTCTACTCTACTTGCAGAATAATCACAGGATGACTTAAACCTACACCTGTTGATAAACTCTACTCTACTTGCAGAATAATCACAGGATGACTTAAACCTACACCTGTTGATAAACTCTACTCTACTTGCAGAATAATCACAGGATGTCTTAAACCTACACCTGTTGATGACATGCAGAATAATTACAGGATGTCTTGAACCTACACCTGTTGTGTGTGTGTCTCCCTATCTAAGTATTTGTGTGTTTGTCTATCTTTCTATCCTGCCCATCTCTCTCTCACTGTTGTGTTGTTGTGCGGTTGTGTCCTGCCACCCAAGGCAATGCTTACCTGGCGCAATGAGGGGGTGGGTGTTGGCAATGCTTGTCGTCCGGTTGGGAGCGGGACCTCGTACTCCTCCTCCTTCGGGGGCCCCCCCCGTCCCGTTGCTGGTGCCCCCGCCGCCCCCTCCCGCGCCCGCCTCTGCCTTCCGGAGGTGCTCCGAAGGGGGCTCTTTGGCCCCGGGCCCTTTGCCCTGGGGCCCCGCTGCCAAGGAAGAGGAAGCCTGGCTGTTGGCGTTGGGCGCAGGCTTCATGGCCAAAGTGGGGAGCTGCTGGGACGGAGAAGGAGCCAAGGCCTGCGGGGGGCGCTGCGCCTGGAGACAACAACAACAACAACAACAACAACAACGATGATGACCAACCCCATTATTAATAATATATCTATCTGCTTAATAATAATAATGATAAATATAGAATCCTAGAGTTGGAAGGGGCACTCAAAGGCCATATAAACCAACCCTATTATTCTGCCGGGAGGAAAAGCACCATCTGATCCCTCCGAACAGATGGCCATGCAAGCTTTGCTAAATAATAATAATAATAATAATAATAGAATCCTAGAGTTGGAAGGGGCACCCAAAGGCCATCCATACCAATCCCATTATTCTGCCAGGCAGGGAAAAGCACCATCCAATCCCTCCCGACAGATGGCCATGCAAACTTTGCTAAATAATAATAATAATAATGATAATAATAGAATCCCAGAGTTGGAAGGGGCACCCAAAGGCTATCCGGTCCATCCCTATTATTCTGCCACGCTGGAAAAGTGCCATCTGATCCCTCCCGACAGATGGCCACCCAGCCCCTGCTTAATAATGATGATAATAAAATAATCCCAGAGTTGGAAGGGGCACCCAAAGGCCATCCAGTCCATCCCTATTATTCTACCACACTGGAAAAGCGCCATCCGATAGAATGCTAGAACTGGAAGGGCCACCCAAAGTCCACCCAGTCTGACCCACCTCCCCACCCGGGTGCCTTACCTGGGCGCAGGTGGTGGTGGGCGGGGTGTTTCCGGCGCCTTCGGCCTGGGCGGGGGCAGGGCTGGGGGTGAAGATGAGCTGCGGGGACAAAGGAACAGCGCGGCCTAGGCTCCGAGCTACCTGCACAAGGTGACCCTGCTGAGCCTGGAAATCACAGGAGGAAGCAGGTCTGTTTCCCAACCGGAACCGCCGATGTTGGCTCAGCTACAGAACGGTTCCTTCCAGCTTTTGCAATCCTGGGATTTGCAGGTCACGAAGCGTCAATTCTGTGCCTCCCCCAAACTACAAATCCCAGGGAAGTAGCCACGGGTATTAACAGCGGAATCGCAGCCAGGACACCCATATTCCCAAGAAGGTTATTTATTTCAGACTCTATTGATGCAGAAAATTACAATGAGATTCCTAAGGCCCAGACAATTCAGGCTCAGGCTCAGACTGAGCCACAACAGAGCAATAATAATAATAATAATAATAATAATAATAATAATAATGATAAAGATCCAAAGGCAAATAACATGAAGCATAATCCCTTAGCAATGGTCAAACAAGAGTCCATGGAAGACAGGTGAAATCAGGATCAAAATCCAAGTCTCAAAGAAGCCAGAAGCATTCCACAAACGCCAAGGGAACTCCACAGAAGTTCACAGGAAAAGAGCAACATTGGACTGACAGAAAATGCCTGTTGGCTACATCATTAAATAATCCCTTAGCAATGGTCAAACAAGAGTCCATGGAAGACAGGTGAAATCAGGATCAAAATCCAAGTCTCAAAGAAGCCAGAAGCATTCCGCAAACACCAAGGTAACTCCACAGAAGTTCACAGGAAAAGAGCAACATTGGACTGACAGAAAATGCCTGTTGGCTACATCATTAAATAATCCCTTAGCAATGGTCAAACAAGAGTCCGTGGAAGACAGGTGAAATCAGGATCAAAATCCAAGTCTCAAAGAAGCCAGAAGCATTCCGCAAACACCAAGGTAACTCCACAGAAGTTCACAGGAAAAGAGCAACATTGGACTGACAGAAAATGCCTGTTGGCTACATCATTAAATAATCCCTTAGCAATGGTCAAACAAGAGTCCATGCAAGACAGGTGAAATCAGGATCAAAATCAAGTCTCAAAGAAGCCAGAAGCATTCCACAAACGCCAAGGGAACTCCACAGAAGTTCACAGGAAAAGAGCAACATTGGACTGACAGAAAATGCCTGTTGGCTACATCATTAAATAATCCCTTAGCAATGGTCAAACAAGAGTCCATGGAAGACAGGTGAAATCAGGATCAAAATCCAAGTCTCAAAGAAGCCAGAAGCATTCCGCAAACGCCAAGGTAACTCCACAGAAGTTCACAGGAAAAGAGCAACATTGGACTGACAGAAAATGCCTGTTGGCTACATCATTAAATAATCCCTTAGCAATGGTCAAACAAGAGTCCATGCAAGACAGGTGAAATCAGGATCAAAATCCAAGTCTCAAAGAAGCCAGAAGCATTCCGCAAACACCAAGGTAACTCCACAGAGGTTCACAGGAAAAGAGCAACATTGGACTGACAGAAAATGCCTGTTGGCTACATCATTAAATAATCCCTTAGCAATGGTCAAACAAGAGTCCATGCAAGACAGGTAAAATCAGGATCAAAATCCAAGTCTCAAAGAAGCCAGAAGCATTCCGCAAACACCAAGGTAACTCCACAGAAGTTCACAGGAAAAGAGCAACATTGGACTGACAGAAAATGCCCGTTGGCTACATCATTAAATAATCCCTTAGCAATGGTCAAACAAGAGTCCATGCAAGACAGGTGAAATCAGGATCAAAATCCAAGTCTCAAAGAAGCCAGAAGCATTCCGCAAACACCAAGGTAACTCCACAGAAGTTCACAGGAAAAGAGCAACATTGGACTGACAGAAAATGCCTGTTGGCTACATCATTAAATAATCCCTTAGCAATGGTCAAACAAGAGTCCATGCAAGACAGGTGAAATCAGGATCAAAATCCAAGTCTCAAAGAAGCCAGAAGCATTCCGCAAACACCAAGGTAACTCCACAGAGGTTCACAGGAAAAGAGCAACATTGGACTGACAGAAAATGCCTGTTGGCTACATCATTAAATAATCCCTTAGCAATGGTCAAACAAGAGTCCATGCAAGACAGGTAAAATCAGGATCAAAATCCAAGTCTCAAAGAAGCCAGAAGCATTCCGCAAACGCCAAGGGAACTCCACAGAAGTTCACAGGAAAAGAGCAACATTGGACTGACAGAAAATGCCTGTTGGCTACATCATTAAATAATCCCTTAGCAATGGTCAAACAAGAGTCCATGCAAGACAGGTAAAATCAGGATCAAAATCCAAGTCTCAAAGAAGCCAGAAGCATTCCGCAAACACCAAGGTAACTCCACAGAAGTTCACAGGAAAAGAGCAACATTGGACTGACAGAAAATGCCTGTTGGCTACATCATTAAATAATCCCTTAGCAATGGTCAAACAAGAGTCCATGCAAGACAGGTGAAATCAGGATCAAAATCCAAGTCTCAAAGAAGCCAAAAGCATTCCGCAAACACCAAGGTAACTCCACAGAAGTTCACAGGAAAAGAGCAACATTGGACTGACAGAAAATGCCTGTTGGCTACATCATTAAATAAGTTTCCCTGACATGAAAGCATTGCGTTGACCTTTGGCTTCACACTTGCTGGCAAGACGAGTGCTTCTGCGAACTCTTAATTGTAAACGATCCTGTCTGCTCATTAATTCACTATCATCTTCAAGGCTGCACTCATTATCTTGGCCCAGCTGGGCCTGATCACCATGGGAATTATATTATATAATTATATTAAATATAATTAATAATAAATATCATACAATTCTACTATAATAATGAAATAAATAATAAATAATAAAAATAATTCATGCACTACATTATGTTTATTACTAAATATAATATTTTAGTAATAATGTAATAAAATGAATAATGCACGATAAATATAATAAAAAGTATAACAATAATAAAATGATCAATATAATAATAAAATAAATTCATGCTCATTATTAAATATTATAATATTTATCCATAAATATAATAAAATGTATCAATAATAATTAATTTTAATAATATAATAAATTAATGCTTATTATTAAACATTATAATATTTAACCATAAACATAATAATAAAATGTATAAATAATAATTAAATATAATTAATTATTATATAATTATATAATAATTATATATAATTATATATAATCAATATAATAATAAAATTAATTCATGCTTATTATTAAATATTATAATATTTATCCATAAATATAATAAAACGTATCAATAATAATTAATTATATTTAATTATTATTTATACATTTTATTATTATGTTTATGGTTAAATATTATAATGTTTAATAATAAGCATTAATTTATTATATTATTAAAATTAATTATTATTGATACATTTTATTATATTTATGGTTAAATATAATATTTAATAAGAATGAATTAATTTTATTATTATATTGATTATTCATTTTATTATTCTTATACTTTTTATTTATGTTTATCATTAAATATCATTTCATTATTATTATATTTATTATTAAATGGTATTATGAATATTTTTATTATTCACTATAACTTTTATTATATTAATAGTAATATTAATATTATTATATTAAATTATATTCAATATTATTATTATATTATTATTATTATTATTATTTATTGTAATATTTATTGTAGTATAGAGGGGATTCTGGGACCTTGGGATATATTCTGAACACAAATAAATATCCCCAGGAAGTTTGTTGGCCGGCTTGAGGGCCACTCCACCCTGCTTGGGACTCACCATCTGTGCCCGCAGGTACATCTGAGCCTGGCTGGCGGTCAAAGCAGGGCTGCTGGCGTTGCCCAAGAGGACAGCTTGCTGGGTCAGGCCAGAAGTGGCCGCAGTGGCCGGAGTCACGCCTTGCGCCCGGGTGAGAAGTTGGGCGGCGGCGGGTGAGGAGGAGAGGCTGAGCTGTGGAAGAGGAAGAGGAAGAAGAAGAAGGCAGGGGTCAACGCTGGCCTGAGGAAGAGCCTCCTGACTGCAGGCCGCTCCACATGAGTGATAGACCCCATGAATGACCCTATAAGGGAGAGACCCTATGAATGACCCTATAATAAACCCAATGACTGATAGACCCTATGAATGACCCTATAATAGACCCAATGAGTGATAGACCCTATGAATGACCCTATAAGTGAGAGACCCTATGAATGACCCTATAATAGACCCAATGAGTGATAGACCCTATGAATGACCCTATAAGTGAGAGACCCTATGAATGACCCTATAATAGACCCAACGAGTGATAGACCCTATGAATGACCCTATGAGTGATAGCCCCTATGAATGATCCTATAAGTGAGAGACCCTATGAATGACCCTATAAGTGATTGACCCTATAAATGACCCTATAAGTGAGAGACCCTATGAATGACCCTATGAGTGATAGACCCTATAAATGACCCTATAAGTGATTGACCCTATGAATAATCCTATAAGTGATTGACCCTATGAATGATCCTATAAGTGATTGACCCTATGAATGACCCTATAAGTGATAGACCCTAATGACCCTATAATAGACCCAATGAGTGATAGACCCTATGAATGACCCTATAAGTGAGAGACCCTATGAATGACCCTATAATAGACCCAACGAGTGATAGACCCTATGAATGACCCTATTAGTGATTGACCCTATGAATGACCCTATAAGTGACAGACCCTATGAATGACCCTATAATAGACCCAATGAGTGAGAGACCCTATGAATGACCCTATAAGTGAGAGACCCTATGAATGACCCTATAATAGACCCTATGTGTGATAGACCCTATGAATGACCCTATGTGTGATAGACCCTATGAATGTCCCTATAAGTGACAGACCCTATGAATGACCCTATAAGTGAGAGACCCTATGAATGACCCTATAATAGACCCAATGAGTGAGAGACCCTATGAATGACCCTATAAGTGATGAGACCCTATGAATGACCCTATAATAGACCCAACGAGTGATAGACCCTATGAATGACCCTATGAGTGATAGACCCTATAAATGACCCTATAAGTGATTGACCCTATGAATAATCCTATAAGTGATTGACCCTATGAATGATCCTATAAGTGATTGACCCTATGAATGACCCTATAAGTGATAGACCCTATGAATGACCCTATAATAGACCCAATGAGTGATAGACCCTATGAATGACCCTATAAGTGAGAGACCCTATGAATGACCCTATAATAGACCCAACGAGTGATAGACCCTATGAATGACCCTATTAGTGATTGACCCTATGAATGACCCTATAAGTGACAGACCCTATGAATGACCCTATAATAGACCCAATGAGTGAGAGACCCTATGAATGACCCTATAAGTGAGAGACCCTATGAATGACCCTATAATAGACCCTATGTGTGATAGACCCTATGAATGACCCTATGTGTGATAGACCCTATGAATGTCCCTATAATAGACCCTATGTGTGATAGACCCTATGAATGACCCTATGTGTGATAGACCCTATGAATGTCCCTATAAGTGATAGACCCTATGAATGACCCTATAAGTGAGAGACCCTATGAATGACCCTATAATAGACCCAACGAGTGATAGACCCTATGAATGACCCTATTAGTGATTGACCCTATGAATGACCCTATAAGTGAGAGACCCTATGAATGACCCTATAATAGACCCAATGAGTGATAGACCCTATGAATGACCCTATTAGTGATTGACCCTATGAATGACCCTATAATAGACCCAATGAGTGAGACCCTATGAATAACCCTATAAGTGATAGACCCTATGAATGACCCTATAATAGACCCAATGAGTGAGAGACCCTATGAATGACCCTATAAGTGATAGACCCTATGAATGACCCTATAATAGACCCAATGAGTGAGAGACCCTATGAATGACCCTATGAGTTATAAGCCCTATGAATGACCCTATGAGTGACAGACCCTATGAATGACCCTATAATAGACCCAATGAGTGAGACCCTATGAATAACCCTATAAGTGATAGACCCTGTGAATGACCCTATAATAGACCCAATGAGTGAGAGACCCTATGAATGACCCTGTAAGTGAGAGACCCTATGAATGACCCTATGAGTTATAAGCCCTATGAATGACCCTATGAGTGACAGACCCTATGAATGACCCTATAAATAATTGAGCCTATGAGTGATAGGCCCTATGAGGATAGCCTTTTAAGCAGATGCTGGTGGCCATCTGTCGGAAGGGTTTTGATTGTGCCTTTTCCATCTGTAGGACGCGGGGTTGGACTAGATGGCCTTTGAGTGCCCCTTCCAACTCTAGGATTCTATGATTCTACGACAGGCTGCATGGCCATCTGTCGGGAAGGATTGGATGGACTAGATGGCCTTTGGGGTCCCTTCCAAATCTATGGATATAAAGGGGGGGGGTTCCTTACCGTGGGTTGCTGCTGGGCGGGGGTCTGCGCGGGTCCATTGTTGCCGGACGAAGCCCCCGGGCGGTTGGCGGCCAGGTTGGCCTGCGAGTAGGAGGCGGAGGAAAGCGTGAGAATCATTATAGTAACCACACGGATGCGTAATAATCATACTTCCACCTGGCCTACTGGGATCTGCATGCGTACCTGTTGGATGGGCGTGGGCAGGCTTTGGTGTTGCGGTTGCGGTTGCTGTTGTTGTTGCTGGTGGTGTTGTTGGTGGTGTTGCTGTTGTGGTTGTTGCTGGTGGTGTTGGTGGTGTTGGTGTTGGTGCTGCTGGAGGGCGGCGGTCTGGAGCATGAGGTGCTGCTGCTGGGCTGCGTACATCTGCTGCAAGTACTGGGCCGCCGTGCTGGGCTGGCGGTGGAGCGCCTGCTGGATCACCTGCCGGGAGGAGGAGGAGGAAGGAGGAAGAGGAAGGAGACGAGGAAGCGGAAGAAGAGGAAGGAGGAAAAAGAAGAGGAAGAGGAGGAGGAGGAGGAGGAAGGAGGAAGCGGAAGAGGAGGAGGAAGAAGAAGGAGGATGAGAAGGATGAGGAAAAAGAAGAGGAAGAGGAGGAGGAGGAAGGAGGAAGAGGAGGAAGGAGGATGAGAAGGATGAGGAAAAAGAAGAGGAAGAGAAGGAGGAAGAAGAGGATGAGAGGGAAAAGAAGAGGAAAAGGAGGAGGAAGGACAGGAAGAAAACGAACAAGTGGAAAAGGAGGAGGGAGAGGAAGGAGGAGGATGAGGACAAAGAAGAGGAGGAGGAGGAGGAGGAGGAGAGGGAAAAGAAGAGGAAAAGGAAGAGGAAGAAGAAGGAGGATGAGAGGGAAAAGAAGAGGAAAAGGAGGAGGAAGAGGAAGGAGGAAGAGGAGGAAGGAGGATGAGAAGGATGAGGAAAAAGAAGAAGAAGAGGAGGAAGAAGAGGATGAGAGGGAAAAGAAGAGGAAAAGGAGGAGGAAGAACAGGAAGAAAACGAGCAAGTGGAAAAGGAGGAGGAAGAGGAAGAGGACGAAGGAGGATGAGAAGGATGAGGAAAAAGAAGAGGAAGAAGGAGGAGGAGGAGGAAGGAGGAAGCGGAAGAGGAGGAGGAAGAAGAAGGAGGATGAGAAGGATGAGGAAAAAGAAGAGGAAGAGGAGGAGGAGGAAGGAGGAAGAGGAGGAAGGAGGATGAGAAGGATGAGGAAAAAGAAGAGGAAGAGAAGGAGGAAGAAGAGGATGAGAGGGAAAAGAAGAGGAAAAGGAGGAGGAAGGACAGGAAGAAAACGAACAAGTGGAAAAGGAGGAGGGAGAGGAAGGAGGAGGATGAGGACAAAGAAGAGGAGGAGGAGGAGGAGGAGGAGAGGGAAAAGAAGAGGAAAAGGAAGAGGAAGAAGAAGGAGGATGAGAGGGAAAAGAAGAGGAAAAGGAGGAGGAAGAGGAAGGAGGAAGAGGAGGAAGGAGGATGAGAAGGATGAGGAAAAAGAAGAAGAAGAGGAGGAAGAAGAGGATGAGAGGGAAAAGAAGAGGAAAAGGAGGAGGAAGAACAGGAAGAAAACGAGCAAGTGGAAAAGGAGGAGGAAGAGGAAGAGGACGAAGGAGGATGAGAAGGATGAGGAAAAAGAAGAGGAAGAAGGAGGAGGAGGAGGAAGGAGGAAGCGGAAGAGGAGGAGGAAGAAGAAGGAGGATGAGAAGGATGAGGAAAAAGAAGAGGAAGAGGAGGAGGAGGAAGGAGGAAGAGGAGGAAGGAGGATGAGAAGGATGAGGAAAAAGAAGAGGAAGAGAAGGAGGAAGAAGAGGATGAGAGGGAAAAGAAGAGGAAAAGGAGGAGGAAGGACAGGAAGAAAACGAACAAGTGGAAAAGGAGGAGGGAGAGGAAGGAGGAGGATGAGGACAAAGAAGAGGAGGAGGAGGAGGAGGAGGAGAGGGAAAAGAAGAGGAAAAGGAAGAGGAAGAAGAAGGAGGATGAGAGGGAAAAGAAGAGGAAAAGGAGGAGGAAGAGGAAGGAGGAAGAGGAGGAAGGAGGATGAGAAGGATGAGGAAAAAGAAGAAGAAGAGGAGGAAGAAGAGGATGAGAGGGAAAAGAAGAGGAAAAGGAGGAGGAAGAACAGGAAGAAAACGAGCAAGTGGAAAAGGAGGAGGAAGAGGAAGAGGACGAAGGAGGATGAGAAGGATGAGGAAAAAGAAGAGGAAGAAGGAGGAGGAGGAGGAAGGAGGAAGCGGAAGAGGAGGAGGAAGAAGAAGGAGGATGAGAAGGATGAGGAAAAAGAAGAGGAAGAGGAGGAGGAGGAAGGAGGAAGAGGAGGAAGGAGGATGAGAAGGATGAGGAAAAAGAAGAGGAAGAGAAGGAGGAAGAAGAGGATGAGAGGGAAAAGAAGAGGAAAAGGAGGAGGAAGGACAGGAAGAAAACGAACAAGTGGAAAAGGAGGAGGGAGAGGAAGGAGGAGGATGAGGACAAAGAAGAGGAGGAGGAGGAGGAGGAGGAGAGGGAAAAGAAGAGGAAAAGGAAGAGGAAGAAGAAGGAGGATGAGAGGGAAAAGAAGAGGAAAAGGAGGAGGAAGAGGAAGGAGGAAGAGGAGGAAGGAGGATGAGAAGGATGAGGAAAAAGAAGAAGAAGAGGAGGAAGAAGAGGATGAGAGGGAAAAGAAGAGGAAAAGGAGGAGGAAGAACAGGAAGAAAACGAGCAAGTGGAAAAGGAGGAGGAAGAGGAAGAGGACGAAGGAGGATGAGAAGGATGAGGAAAAAGAAGAGGAAGAAGGAGGAGGAGGAGGAAGGAGGAAGCGGAAGAGGAGGAGGAAGAAGAAGGAGGATGAGAAGGATGAGGAAAAAGAAGAGGAAGAGGAGGAGGAGGAAGGAGGAAGAGGAGGAAGGAGGATGAGAAGGATGAGGAAAAAGAAGAGGAAGAGAAGGAGGAAGAAGAGGATGAGAGGGAAAAGAAGAGGAAAAGGAGGAGGAAGGACAGGAAGAAAACGAACAAGTGGAAAAGGAGGAGGGAGAGGAAGGAGGAGGATGAGGACAAAGAAGAGGAGGAGGAGGAGGAGGAGGAGAGGGAAAAGAAGAGGAAAAGGAAGAGGAAGAAGAAGGAGGATGAGAGGGAAAAGAAGAGGAAAAGGAGGAGGAAGAGGAAGGAGGAAGAGGAGGAAGGAGGATGAGAAGGATGAGGAAAAAGAAGAAGAAGAGGAGGAAGAAGAGGATGAGAGGGAAAAGAAGAGGAAAAGGAGGAGGAAGAACAGGAAGAAAACGAGCAAGTGGAAAAGGAGGAGGAAGAGGAAGAGGACGAAGGAGGATGAGAAGGATGAGGAAAAAGAAGAGGAAGAAGGAGGAGGAGGAGGAAGGAGGAAGCGGAAGAGGAGGAGGAAGAAGAAGGAGGATGAGAAGGATGAGGAAAAAGAAGAGGAAGAGGAGGAGGAGGAAGGAGGAAGAGGAGGAAGGAGGATGAGAAGGATGAGGAAAAAGAAGAGGAAGAGAAGGAGGAAGAAGAGGATGAGAGGGAAAAGAAGAGGAAAAGGAGGAGGAAGGACAGGAAGAAAACGAACAAGTGGAAAAGGAGGAGGGAGAGGAAGGAGGAGGATGAGGACAAAGAAGAGGAGGAGGAGGAGGAGGAGGAGAGGGAAAAGAAGAGGAAAAGGAAGAGGAAGAAGAAGGAGGATGAGAGGGAAAAGAAGAGGAAAAGGAGGAGGAAGAGGAAGGAGGAAGAGGAGGAAGGAGGATGAGAAGGATGAGGAAAAAGAAGAAGAAGAGGAGGAAGAAGAGGATGAGAGGGAAAAGAAGAGGAAAAGGAGGAGGAAGAACAGGAAGAAAACGAGCAAGTGGAAAAGGAGGAGGAAGAGGAAGAGGACGAAGGAGGATGAGAAGGATGAGGAAAAAGAAGAGGAAGAAGGAGGAGGAGGAGGAAGGAGGAAGCGGAAGAGGAGGAGGAAGAAGAAGGAGGATGAGAAGGATGAGGAAAAAGAAGAGGAAGAGGAGGAGGAGGAAGGAGGAAGAGGAGGAAGGAGGATGAGAAGGATGAGGAAAAAGAAGAGGAAGAGAAGGAGGAAGAAGAGGATGAGAGGGAAAAGAAGAGGAAAAGGAGGAGGAAGGACAGGAAGAAAACGAACAAGTGGAAAAGGAGGAGGGAGAGGAAGGAGGAGGATGAGGACAAAGAAGAGGAGGAGGAGGAGGAGGAGGAGAGGGAAAAGAAGAGGAAAAGGAAGAGGAAGAAGAAGGAGGATGAGAGGGAAAAGAAGAGGAAAAGGAGGAGGAAGAGGAAGGAGGAAGAGGAGGAAGGAGGATGAGAAGGATGAGGAAAAAGAAGAAGAAGAGGAGGAAGAAGAGGATGAGAGGGAAAAGAAGAGGAAAAGGAGGAGGAAGAACAGGAAGAAAACGAGCAAAGAGGAGAGAGGAAGAGGAGAAGGAGGAGGAGAAGGAGGAGGAAAAAGAAGAGGAAGAGGAGGAGGAGGAGGAAGGAGGAAGCGGAAGAGGAGGAGGAAGAAGAAGGAGGATGAGAAGGATGAGGAAAAAGAAGAGGAAGAGGAGGAGGAGGAAGGAGGAAGAGGAGGAAGGAGGATGAGAAGGATGAGGAAAAAGAAGAGGAAGAGAAGGAGGAAGAAGAGGATGAGAGGGAAAAGAAGAGGAAAAGGAGGAGGAAGGACAGGAAGAAAACGAACAAGTGGAAAAGGAGGAGGGAGAGGAAGGAGGAGGATGAGGACAAAGAAGAGGAGGAGGAGGAGGAGGAGGAGAGGGAAAAGAAGAGGAAAAGGAAGAGGAAGAAGAAGGAGGATGAGAGGGAAAAGAAGAGGAAAAGGAGGAGGAAGAGGAAGGAGGAAGAGGAGGAAGGAGGATGAGAAGGATGAGGAAAAAGAAGAAGAAGAGGAGGAAGAAGAGGATGAGAGGGAAAAGAAGAGGAAAAGGAGGAGGAAGAACAGGAAGAAAACGAGCAAGTGGAAAAGGAGGAGGAAGAGGAAGAGGACGAAGGAGGATGAGAAGGATGAGGAAAAAGAAGAGGAAGAAGGAGGAGGAGGAGGAAGGAGGAGGAAGGAGGAGGATGAGGACAAAGAAGAGGAGGAGGAGGAGGAGGAGGAGAGGGAAAAGAAGAGGAAAAGGAAGAGGAAGAAGAAGGAGGATGAGAGGGAAAAGAAGAGGAAAAGGAGGAGGAAGAGGAAGGAGGAAGAGGAGGAAGGAGGATGAGAAGGATGAGGAAAAAGAAGAAGAAGAGGAGGAAGAAGAGGATGAGAGGGAAAAGAAAAGGAAAAGGAGGAGGAAGAACAGGAAGAAAACGAGCAAGTGGAAAAGGAAGAGGAAGAAGGAGGATGAGAAGGATGAGGAAAAAGAAGAGGAAGAGGAGGAAGAAGAAGAGGATGAGAGGGAAAAGAAGAGGAAAAGGAGGAGGAGAGGAAGGAGGAAGAGGAAGGAGTAGGAGGAGGAAAAAGAAGAGGAAGAGGAGGAGGA